CGAAGATTTAGAATCCGATATGTTGCTCGCCTTGCCGACAACCACTGAGACGCTGCGGATTAGCGCTGCGAAAGGAGACACTCGTTGTGCTTACAGGGAGCGAAAAACCGGATCATAAGCTGCGACATGTGGCTCTCATTCATGCAAAATTAGAAGCTCCAACTGCTACATGGGGAGTACAGGTTACGGAGGCTACGGGAGGAGGGGAGAGGAGGTTGACATGCTGCAATTCGAAGAGTCCAGACACAGGAAAAATGGAAAATTTGATTTCTTCCGATCCACCGTACATTGCTCACGAAGCAAAGGCAGGAGAGGGGGGAGACAGTTGTATTTTTTATTTTCCACTTTCTTCCTCGGGCACACCTCAGATCCGGAGGTGTTAACAGTTGCAGGAACTGAAAGCATTTTCTGCGCTTCACGAATGGTATGTGATGCAGAATGCTTGTATACTCAATGTTAAATGGTATTGACTTAGAAGAAGTTGATAGCTACCACTTATCTTGAACAGGCGATAAATGTGCTTCGCAGTTTGCAGCCGAAGATTACACGTAGAAAGAGGCTGCAATTTGGCATAAAATTCATAGCACCGCCGACGCTCGCAGTTTCGAGTGGGAGGACCATGTCCAATTCTTCAGTACCGCGATACTGAAAGAAATAACGTAGATTCATGGGTGAATGCCAGCTGAAACGGGGAAATCGTGTTCCTTCGCCAACATTACAAACAGTCAAACCCTCTGTCAGTGAGCAGTGTGCAGGGTATTATTACATCCGTGCAAGGAGTTAAGGCTCGCTGGGGAGGGCATATTGCTCGCCTTGGCGATATCCAATGGATGTTGCGGATCAGTGAGTCGTACTGGGAAGGAAGGGGAAACGACCAAGCGGTAGATACTAACTACAGTTATGCAGTGCAGTTGATCGAAGAGCCTAGTGCTATTGCACCGGGCATGTTGGGATATCCCGACAGTACTGCTAACGTGATTGCCCTTGACTTACATCACTAACACAGATTGCCCTTGATTTACATCACTAACACAGATTGCTCTTGTCTCTATATTCCAAGATATATTTGCATACATGTATTAATATCGATGTTGCACTTAGAATTCCTTTCCTTTGGCTCCCTTTCTGCAGGGATGTGTGCAGTAAGTTAAGCTTTTGGATGCAAAGTGAACAGGAACTTCCGCTCATACGTTTACTTTAGGCGTCCAAAAAGAAAGGTCTTTCGACTGAAGAGAAGCGCGCTCGGCTTCTGGAACTATTCTACGAAAGTAATGAATTCTTCCAGGTAAATTTCAACTCCAACTTTAGGCGTTTGTGCTGACTGCTGTACAGAGAAATGCATAATAGTCTTTCGGCAGGATATCATCGTGGATCGGGCGTTACCTACTCCTAATTGTAGATTATCGTAACCTGTAAATACGAAGTCAGAATTGTGTGTTTGAACCTCAGGAGCAATGCGCCTTCTGGATAGGATGATCACTTACCTCAGTCTTGGGTGACAGAATCGCAAAAATTAAAAAAATTTTAAAACAAATTGCAAATGAGGGCGATGCGCCATCTCAGAGTACGTTATTTTAAGCAAGTCGTGCGACTCTCCGATGTTAAATTGCCTATCTCCTGCACTCATTTCATAGACGACCAAAAGGTTACTTCACAGATCTTTCTGATCATATACTTGATAGATTTATGAGAATATATATATATATATAAAATTTTTTTTCTATAAAAAAAATTTTAAAATTCTTTTATATTTATATATGTGTCTGCGAGAAATGTTTTTGAAAAAGTTGTCTTCAGCCAACGGCGCGATGTTGTTCAACAGTTCGCGAGTAACGCAGGACACTGTTAGTTAGCATGAGTTAGGTAACACTTCTCTAATATATTACTGATTGTAAAATCCCGGCAAACAAAAAAAAGGACATTCTGTCTTCTGCAGAAAAAAAGCAATGCTATGGTCTGTTACAAGTAAGCCACTCCATATGTGCTGCCATTAAATTCTTTTTTATTTCGCTGTGCAAACTTTAGATGAAGGAGCTTGAGAAGATTGCGCCAAAGCAGAAGGGCATTGTATCGCAGTCGGTGAAAGAAATAACTCAGCTGTTAGTTGACGAAGGCCTTGTTGAATGCGAGAAAATTGGTACTTTCGTATGTTACTGGGCCTTCCCGTCACAAGCAGTAGTTACCGTAAGAATTTTAAAATCTTTCTGTTGCGAAAGAAATTTTTTTGCTGTGGTTACCAAAATCGCTTGGACTATCAGTGTGAAGATTACTCGCTGTCGCTGGGACGCACGCAAATGCTGGACAAAGCTTTGTCTGACCTTTTACGTCCGGAATTTTGCATGCCATCAAGTTAGCACTAGCCATTCGTATAGTGTATGAGCCCGACTTCTTTGTACGCGATTGATGCTTCCCAGCTAGTTGACAGCAAAATGAGCAGAATGTACTGCTTTTTTGACTTTTCGCAAGTGATTGCACCGAAAATCCTGTAAATGGTTTATCTACCGATGTTTTGGCTGTATGTCGAAAAGTCACAGATAATTTTTTTGGAGTTTTTAAAAAGCTTCTCAGTTCAAAATTGCCAAAAAATCCATTTTTTTAAAAATTTCTTTTTGTTGCTTTGTAAATGTAAAATTGTTTGGCTTCTAAAATAATCCCTACTTGCCTGGAGTTTTTGTTGCTGACTTTTTTAGCGCCGGAAGAAGTTGGAGGAATTGGACGAAGCAATTTCGAATTCGAAGGCGAAACTCGCTGAGTTGAAAGAAATTATAAAAGAGGCAAGAAAGGGGAAGGAGGTAAGCGATGAGATTGGCTCTTTTGATAATGTAAGCAGCTGTACTTATGCGTAACTTCTGTAGTCAGGAAAATCGAAAGGGCGCAAACGACATCCAAAGGGTATACGGGATTTGGCGAAATGAGCGTAAAATTTCATAAAGCTGCACAGATTTTAGCAGTGGGCAAACATTAAGACTTTCAGTCGGTCACTATGAAAAACGGAAGCATCGACAGCTCACTGTGACTGTTGATTCGTTTCAACTGAGATATGCTACCGATTTTGGAAATCGCTTTTCAGTTTACTTAGAATAAAGTCGAATCCCCTCCAGATTCACTTTTTTTGGGTAGGCAAAAGCTCACGGGAGCAGTCGAAGTGCTTGCAAGTACCAAAAGCAGTCAGTCCAGACAGTACCGTGGGTAGGTGTTTTTTTTTTCTTCAGGGTTGCTTAAAAGCAAGTTAATGACCGATTTAACTTTCTGGTGTGTGCCAATACCATTTCTAAACGAACTAACAAATCGTAGAAAAATTGGCTCTCCTCAGTATCGGTTGTTGCTGAGAAACCACAGGGGACTGTGAAGCGCTTCTGCTTTTATCAAAAAGTGAAAGCTTTTAATTTGATATTGCAATAATTTTTCGCCTCTCTCGAATGTTGGTGAGATTTTGAGATAAGACGGGACCAGATCATGATAGATCTAACACACAGTTATCAAGGGTCTATTCTCACACAGCTTGCGACTTTTCTCTTTTCATCGATTTTGAATTTCCGGTCTTATGTATTTTTGCATCATTAATGAAATGTAAGAACACATTTTATCAGCGCTCTGGCCCGCATGTTTATCCGCATACTTCATTTTCCATTTCTACGAAGACTATGAAAAAAGGTGCTTTTCTGGTTATCGATTTAGCAATTTTCCCACCAAAACTTTCAAACGCCCGTAACGTGGTTACTCCACTTGCCTGGGAAGATGAATTTGAAGTTTTAAATTGCATGTGGACAGGGAATGTCACCCTAAAATTTCAGCCTACATACAAACAGATGGTAGAAATTTACTAGGCACATGAGCAGGCAGGCATATAACAAGCATGTGGGAAATCCATCAAAAAAAGGCCAAAAACTATCCGTTCGAGAGTGCCTTTACTGAAGCGGCCAGCAACTTGGTTTCTCACTGTAGGTGGTTCCCCAGATGCACATTGAGCTTTCACGTCTTTTCACCTTCCACGTTCACGTTGGCGCGCTAAAGTATTCTAGACAGAAAGTAATGTCGAGGGCCGGTAAATCTAAAATGCTGAAATTTTTCGGAATCCCCCGCCCTTGTGTGTCCTGAAGATCAGTTCTTCAATCTTAAAGTGCGCCTAAGTCTCAGGTATGTGCAAGTGGAAGTCCACACTGGAACACTGTTGCTGTTCCAATTTGGGTCGGTAGCCAGACTGTGTGAGAAGCTGTAAGTTTAAGAGAATGCTTGCTAATCAGGTAAGGGCTCGAAAACCATTTGGCTTCCGTGGGCGCTTTTGCCTCGCGTTAGGAATCTCAAAGCGCAGTGGGCAAAATTGTGACATTCTTTCTTGGAAATCGTTCAGGCTAGGAAGCCGAAATTTGGAGAAGCGTTACCTATTTTTCTGAGGCTCCAAATGCATAAATTAAACTTTCAATTACTCCTGTGCCTGGCAAACAGGCGGGCAAGTTTCAGATAACAAGTGTATTGGCATCCTTTTAATTCAGGGACCGGAATGCGTAGATGTTTCCTGTTCATTTGCGAGTTCGTAGGCGTAAAATGAGTTTTCACGTATACCTATGTCTCATATACGAATATGTCAAACTTCCAAAATCGTTCGCATCATCTTCTCACTATAATCAGATATGCAAGGAAACTGGAATTTTACTGGATTTCTACAGTAAAAAGCCCCGACTCGGCCAGCAAGAATGTTTTTAACACGAGTGCACATATCAAACTGTTTAGGATCTTGTGCCGTATGAAATCTTACAAAAAATGCATATTAGAGCGGACATCCGTGGTGTGGGTAGCTATTTATTTAAAATGAGCTGAGCTTCAGATCGAGTGTGAAATTAAAAAACCGAGTTTTTGCAAGGAGGTTTTTTTTTGCATCTGTTACCTTGATATTTTTAGAAATACTAAGAATTTAAGTTTTTTTTTGGGTCTCGGAATTCCAGTAAAAGGTCAAAATTTCTTTACATAATCTTGCTTTTCGAAATCGCTGTTTTCTGAAATAACGAATTCAGGCTTCTAAAGAGAGAACAGAGCGAGAAAAACAGATTGCGGATTTGCAAAAGAAACATGAGGAGTTAAAAGCGAAACTGGAAAAGCTTTGCGAGGATGGCCCTGAAGCTCTTACACGATTGCAAGCGGATGTTGATAAAGCTCGTGACGCGGCAAATCGTTGGACAGGTGAACTTTTAGACGTTAGTGTGCCCTCTATACACGTATGCATCGGGAATGACAAGACAGCTCAGCATTCGGTTCATTACAAGCTTCATCCTGCTCCCCTGGTTCTCCAGTACGCTGGGTACAGCATTTTGTGTATTTATGCTATCTCTTCGTAATCCGTTCAGTGCTCGCTTTCTTTCTCACAGGTACCGAACACTAAAGCACAACATCCACCAATTTTCGACAGTTCTAGCAACACGCCCCTGCGCTGCTGCAGTAATATCCTCCACGTCGCCCATCTGACGGAACAGTGTCGGATCTTGAATTCCTTCGAAGCCCGCAAAAACTTAAAACTCTCCCTCCCCCTTCCACCTTCAAGCTTCTCTGCCAAGTTCTATTTGTTTTCAATAAAACTCGAGCATATTTAGGTTGAATTTGTGATAAAACGAAAAAATCCACCAGTAAATGTTTTTGCGCATATATGAGAAATTACGGTGTCGTTGTGACTTCAGGCAAGTGAAAGGAAAAGCGCGATTTATTATGCAAGCTTTAGAGGAATTAAGTACGGAATGTAAGCTGTAAGTCTATACAAAAGTGGACTGGAAAATGAAAGCCGAGTCGGAGACCATAGAGCCATGGTAATTCGAAGGCCGAAAGCTGGCCTAGGACTGTTTGGAGAAATGTTAGAGTCGTAGGCGAGAAGAAGCGAAATTGAGAACTAAGAGTGAAGCGTGCCGTAGATCCAAGACGAAAAACCAGACTGAGAGAACTATGAATGGGGGGAAATAGGGTTTTTATAGGAACAAAAGGACCTACTCCTAAGAGGAGGCAGCCAACGCATTTAAACCTTTGTGTTCGACTGTTCCAGCTACGCACAGTGCACTGGTAAATTATTCATGAAACATAGCTGCGCACTGGCTTTTTTTGTATAAAACTGAATTGGGAATAAAGTAGGGTATAGGGACGGGTTACAGTATGGAAGGGAAAGAAAAAGCTAAAGTGGAACAAAAGAAAACATTGGCACATTACTTGTTTAAAGAAAAGTAGAAACATATTTACTTTCCACATTAAGAAATATTGTTTATTTTTGGTACAAAGGAAAGATACATGCCAAAAGTAATGTACTTAAATCTGGTCACTAATGGAAATGTTTTACAAAGTTAGCAGCAAAAATTGAAACTTTATTTTGCGAGGCTTTTGTGCTGCAAATGATCCTCTCCCCCAGCCATCGCCGCCGAAATGCAGAAAAGAGGAGTGCAGAAAAAGTCCCAAAGAGCGCGGCCGGCACTGCCGTTGCCCCACATGTCCCCTGGTATATTTCTGTTTTCTTCACAACTAAGTATGGTAATCAGCTATCTAGCTGATGCGCAAACTCTCCATCAAATGAACGACACACGGTATGCTTCATTGCGGCCACGTGGGGAAGTAAAGTCCGATGGATGGGATGCTCGCTCCGCCACAATCAAGGACGACACGTATTAGTGAGTGGTACTCACGAGTAAATAAACGACCACTCTGGTGTCCTCAGGAATTGGCGCAAATACATCAACCAGACGGTGAGTGCTAGTTGGAAGTATGAAGCCCAGGATGGAAGGGTCTGACATAGTTGCGCCTGGCGTGTGAGAACATCCCCAAAACAGGGTTAGCCCGAGTAGTCTGGGTAACATTTGGTATTAGAGCCTAGGTGGCACGCCTTTTCGTGTCAGCCTGTGATAATCTTGAGCAAAAAAAAAACAAACAAACGGAAAAACTGCGCGATTTTCATTTGACTTTAGGCCTTTATCACAGAGTCTTTTAAAAATATTTATTAAAATAGTTTTCAGACAATATATTTGCGGCGAAGAAATGGTGTAAACGTAAGTTTGGTGCTGAAGATAAGATGCTGGATGCACAGTTCGGAATACCGCCCGACTTTGATTATGTCGAGTGACTTGTTAATCAGTGTTTTCGAGGTGGAACAGAGGGCAAGGGGTGTCGTCTTACAGTACTGAATTGTGTTTTATGGGATGGTTCAAGAACACTCGGGAAGACGTTTCTTTTTGAAAATAGCGTGTATTTTTTGAGGCACTTTCCCAGAGCAGAAAATCCTTACTAGAGCTTCTTGCTACAGCATTGCTATGAAAAATAAAAACCAAACAGTTAAGGGGTTTTTTTAAAGTAAGATATTTTAGCAGCTCTGCGAGGTTGAGGGATATAACACCCATTCGCTATTGTTTTTTATGATCAGTCATAGATCATGATCGTGTAACTGGCATCCTTACATCTGGAGCTTCTATAAGGATGCCAGTACACGATCATGATCTATTACTGGTCATAAAGAACAATAGCGAATGGGTGTTATATGAGCGAAGACAATATGCTGTTTCCCTTTTTGTGTCGGAAGCTGGGTACGACGCGCGACTGAATTCTTTGTAAGCCAGATGGAGACCTTATGTGGACGGTTTTTACTGCACTTACTGTAACAGAGTAGATTGTGAATAGTGTTCCCACGTGATGGAGGTAAGAATTGCTGCTCGGCGTACTTTAGCGCAGAGCACGCCGAGCAGCAATTCTTACCTCCATCACATGGGAGCACTATTCACAGTCTGCCCTGTTACAGCAAGTGCAGCAACGAATCCCGTCCACATACGATCTCCATCTGGCAGAAAGGCTGGCGTAACTACGCGAGCGTGGACGTGCAACCATTATGCGCTGAGCGGTCGTT